ATTATGCCATGATGATATAGTTATATGATATAGTTGTTGTTTTTTTTGTTTTAACCAGTGCAGGGGAAAAAATGGGTAAAAAACAAATGCCTTATACATTGGATTAGTTTTAGGTCATTAGATTAAGTCTTTGCTTTCATATAACACATCATATTTGATCTCCATAGGCAGTGATTTAAATAACAGTATCTGAGACATTAGTAAGGCAATGTGTTGAAAAGATTAAAACACTGAAAATGTGGGAAAAAAAAGTTGCTGAATCTGTTCAAACACCATTTTTTGTAAGGAGCCAGTTTCCAGAAAGGTTAAAATGTATTGTTATCCTTCATTGATATAGATGTTTGTGATGTTAAAAGCAGAATATTTACTTACAGTAGTGGAGTAGATAACTCCCTACATTTATTGTTTGAACTTACATGTGACATACCAGCGTTCAATTCAGAAAAATGTGACATTTTATACAACTTCAGCAGCTGTACGTGGGCGTATAAAAGCAAAACAAAAGCCTTGGGCTCAGATGCAACGAAAAGCGTTCTTGTGGGAGAATAACCTTTGTAGCATAGCATGCTTCAATATGAAGTCTTGATGGAGCAAAAAAGCATTCATTAGGAAGTCAAACAGATATATATGGAATATAAAATGATAAGCCTGATTTATAATGAGCCTGTGTTGAATAATGTAGGGGACGCTTCTCTGCATCAGTACGCCTTACTTCCCTCATGCTACACCCGCTGCAATCAAAAAATGAACTTGCGCACCATCTGCATTAGCATATTGTTATTAAAACATAGGGATAATTTATGAACCTAAATATACAATTAATGATAATCAATGTAGATTTTTTTAGCGTGACGAGTGGCCTGGTGATCCACTAATAGGTTTAGCTCACTCAGTAACCAAGTTATAAATTATTCTGTCAAAGCCGTGCACAGGCTTCTGTTTACAACCTACATATTCACTGACCTTTTCTGGTGCGGATTCGATGCGCCTGATCAATTCAATATTGTTCCACAAAAAGGGTTATTAAAATTTCATCCCCAAATGCGTGGTGTGAGCACTGCTGTAATGCAAAAGATTAATCTGCTGGTGTTAAGTTGGCGTTAGGCTAATGTGAGTCGCTCTAAAATGATTCACATTAGAGTGGGCCTCAGGGGCCGGCATTGCAGCCCTTCTTGATGCAGAAAGGAAAATTAATTAAAAACAATAATCGTGTAATTCTGCTCATTACTTTTGCCCAGGCTGTAACTTCTTTATCCCACTGTGTCTTTTTGATGTGTGTCAGATAGTCAGGTGCTTGCTCAAGGGGACTACTGCACGGTTGCATCAGGCAGGTGTCATGGGCAACGCAAGGAGCAACAGAAGGGAAGCCTGTATAAAAGATTCCTGTGCATCTGGGCCGAAGTAGAACTTGATAACTCACTCTGACAGACAGTGGTATCTAGGACAGAAGACCACTCTATACCTTTTCGTTTTCCATTTCTTTTTGCTTCTTCACTTCCTCTCTCTCAAGTCCCTGGACCATGCCAAGTCAGTTTGACTAAGAACATTAGGGTGTCACAGCTTGGGATTTGGCGTTTGCAATTCTATTAGAGCGTCGACTCTAAAGGCAAACGTCTTCCATTCCCTCTACCTCTCCTCCTGGCGTCGCCTCTGCCAGCCAACAGATGCAGGTTTTTACATATCAAAGCTGTTGACTTGCCAGAGTCATTTCTTCACGCCTCTAATGCTCTTTGCTTCAGAGGACTGTACCTCGGTCCCTTGATCAAGTTACTAAACGCGGCTTTGCACATGGCTCACCACCAAAGGCGGGTGGCTCACGCTGGGACCTGGAAATGCAGGCGAGAAAAGCATCTCAGAGGGATTGGCTTGTGCTTACACACCATGAGACAGGCCAAGTGAAAGAAGGGAGGGGGCATACCGACAGGCGTATGGAGGAAACAACAAAAGCCGGGCCAGACCGTGTTAATAAAGTAAATTCTTAAGTGGAGAAAGACGATCAAAGGTCCATGTATTTGGCAAATGCAATCCACAGCGTGCACTGAGGTGTACACAGGGTGGACGCGTTTCCCCAATATGCTCAAAGTGTGTCAAAGCAATCCAACAGTTCAAATGCAGATTGTTTGTGCTTTTTAAACTTAGGCTTTGATGCCAACTATTAATAAGTAAAAAGACTGACAAACAGAACTAGCTCTGAAGCAGGAACATGGCAGATTGATTTATCAATACCGAAGCCCTAATACGTCTCTTCATTATGTGTTCTCCTTTGAAGATGGAGAACAGATGAAAGTGTTGTATGACATCAAGAACTGTAGCATCAGAGAGGTACTTTATTAAAATAATACTAGATAATGAGAGATAATTGCATTCTCAGAATAAATTGTGTTGAAAGGAACAGATAGAATTATCTGGAGTGAATTGATGCGCTTCACTGCGAGTCTCATACTGCGTGTGTCGATGACGCAACTCCATGCCAAGGCAAATCCATGTTTGAGAAGGACTAGATTTAAAGGCATGCGTGTCTTTAAGCTGAGGTCTCGGAGTCTCGGTTTCCCCCTCCTTGCCTCTTGAGGCATGTCTTCTCCATCTGAGTGTCCCTAACAACAGTCACTCTCTGCAAGTGACCCTTCTGCCACAGTTGCACATACAGAGGGGAGAAAGCAGCAGCAGCTTGTGATAAGAGATGACCTTTCATGGTTGGATGTCAGAGGTGAGAAATACTGCCTGAAAGCATGTGTGATACTGACCTCGACTCTGAGATGGGGTCATTCAGAGGTTATAGAACTTCAGCTTGTTATGTTAAAAATATTGGCAAAGCTTTTAATGTATTTTTTAACATCTTTATCGTATTGGACTTAACTGGGGCCTACTCTAGAACCCTGGGTCTTGCCTTGAGATCATCGGTCATCCCAGACAGCTCATCAACTAGTCATACATGTGTATATGTGGTTAGTGAGTGTTCCTGGAGGTTGCTGACTGTAGCCAGGTGAAATTGGTCATAAAGCAAGTGCTGCATTCAAAAAAACTTCTGTGTGATTTCTTGGGCCACACATTGCCTGTCGCGTGTATATTAATTGTTTTACTTATGAGATAGCTTTATGATTGCACTGTAACAGTTTTGGCATTTTTATTATTATTACAAACAAGGATTTAGATATTTGTAATTTTTTTTCATTACAGTGGTAAAACACACCTTTGTCTTGATTTTGTTGATAAACTCTGGTCATGACAGCGGCATCTTATTTACTTTAATAACCCACAGTGTTAAAGAATGTGGCCCAGGTACAGTACAGCCAGCAGACTGTATGTTTTAGGTTATGTGTTAGATACTGCATCTTTTACAGTGACATGTATTTTGCTTAATTTCATGCATACTATTTAAAAGTATTATTGGCAAAAAGACTAACCCAATTTAAACAGATCAAATTTAAATGTGTCAGAGCTTTTAAGTAGTTACTGATTTGCGGATGAAGTTGTAACATTTGAATATGAAGCAAAAGCAGAAAGAATTAATTCTGTCATGTTGACCAGAAAGCTTCAGCTTATTTGCCATAAGCTGATTTCTGGTGAGAGGGAAAAGCTGCGTTATCCATTTTTGAACTATTAATAAATGAATAACAAATAAATAAAATACCTGGCTTTGCTTGTTGAATTTTGGATTCAACTATTTATTTGGTTCCAAAACACTGCCCTTGCGTGAGACAGCAGATCCAGTGAATGCTGCTAATTAATAAAAAGCATCTCAGAGTTTAAATCCGTTGTTTACTTTTCGGTGTCAGACTTGGGTTTGTAGGAAAGCCACTAACCTTTGATACGAGCTGTCATTGCTGCATAATCTTTATCAATTCAGCCCCAAATTTAAGACAGTCTTCTTCAAAGCGCATCAAAACTTCATTAACTCTCTTAATACAGACAAGGCTGTAACAGCTAAGCTGAAATGTGAACGCCACAGAGAAAGTACAATAAAACTCTTAAATAACTGAGGGTAAAGTGTGGCGCTAAGAAAACAGCAGCTGAACTTCCTCTTCAAGCAAAATATCAGTAGTTGCTTGTGTAAACTTCTGTAGTTTTCTCTTTGGCAGGTCCAGTGTTGACAATACTTGATATATGCACCAAATTCAGTGTAATATATTTCACAATGTGCTTTAAAACAGCTGTGTTGCTGCTCAGGTTCCTTTTAGGTAAAGGAGTGAATGCATTATTTGAAACAGAAGAATGTATGGATTAACTAAGTGGGCCATGGAGAAAACAATGGAAGCCATGAGAGTTTATCCATTTCCTATGATAACTTGCCAGCGACTGGTAAGCACCCAGCATGGATGGCTTTCATTTCCTTCTTATCCATCTTCCCCTCTTTCTTTGGTGGAGAAAAACCTCCCCGAATCTTCAGTGAGTGACACTTCTTTCAATTCCTGGTGCTCATCCAAAAGATTCCATTTGGATGTCCATAAATAAAGACGAAATGAATACCAGTGGGAACAAATTAGCCGGTCACTAATTAGCTCTTAAGCTAATGCTGAATGTCATGTGTTAAAGGAGGGTAAAGGAGTGTCAATGAATGGTGGTGGCACACAGTCTTCAGGTCATCACACAAACACACATCCAGGCCCTTTCAAATGGGGGCATCAGCATCAAGAGCTTTGTGTCTCAGTAAATATTAGTTCTGCTCAGCTCGCACTCAGCAGATAAAGTCCTCAGTGTGGGAGGCGGAGTCAGAGCAGTTTCCTCTTAGACCTGACGGAGGGTACCAGGGGACTAGACTAATTTTACAGCCTTCAGAAAGAAATTGGATGGGTGCAAATGAAAAGAAATGGGTGAATGTTCAATTCTGGTCACACTGGACTAGAATAATTACACGGTATACAAAAGAAAATACATCACAGTAACAAATGGTGCACCACATGTACAAACACATTATTTCACTGCTACAAGTTATACCACAAAAATGCATTTCCCCACAAATTTAGACACATATAGAAAATACCCACAGTCTGTCAACTCACATTGTACAATCAGCTCCACTATGGCCTCCCGGGGCTTCACGTTGAACCCATTATACTGGCTGGTCTGGCAGCGGTACGAGCCCGTCATCTCCCTGGACACATTAACAATACGCAGCACGCCGTCGTAGCTCTCCATCTGCATGCTGCCGTCTGGCATGGGCGCTTCCTTATCCGCTCGCGACCACAGGATGATCGGCTTGGGCTTTCCTGAAACAAGGCACTCCAGCTCCACTGTGTCACCCTCGCGGGCCACCAGGGGAGACTTGCCCCGTGGGACTGTCAGGTTGGGGGGAACTAAGAAAGAGAAAAACAAAGGAGGGACTGATATGGGGCTCTAGAAAGTCAGCAGGCGGGGTAAGAGGAAATAGTCAACTTGGGGAAAGTTGTGGCGAAAAAGGTATGGAGGGGGAAGCGAATGAGCATCCAAAGTTGCGATGGCAATGAAGCGGCATCTCAGCAACATACACAGCTTTTATGGAAGCACCATGCGGATATTAGCAACAGTAATGTCTAACGGCTGGGACTAGACAGTCTGAACATGTACTCTACGCAAAACCACCACGAAGGACAGCAGTGAGAAGGTTTAATGCTATCAAGCAATGGCAAACGATGAACAATGCAATGAGCGGACAAGCAAATTCTAAATAGTTAATGACAGCCTTTATTAGCTAAACAAGTCCAGGTACTAAAAAGACTAAGGAATGTAGACCATGCAGTAAACTACAGAGTAAGAGTTCTGTTCGCACATCCACTCTGAATGCATGAAGATCAGGCAGATTAGGCCTCACAAGGGATTAGTCCAGTGAAATCTAAGACATAGTTCACAATCAGCGCAGCAACCGATGTTCAACTGGATTGAATAAAACAGTTACAAAATAAACATGCAGAGGAGAAAAGTAAGACATGATCTTTATATATATATATATGTATATAAAACAAAAGCAAACCAGCAGTTCAACAGTTTGTAAAGCACTCCTGTTGCCTTTGATGCCAGGAGTTAGATTGATTCCAAGCTTGTGTTTATACATGATTGTGGGTCATTGTAAATCACAAAACCGAGAGAAGAGAATTCCTTGTAACTACAAAGTCTTGATCTTCATATGAGCTATCCTTACACTTCTAATACACTCTCAGCAGTAGCAGCACTGGCATTACAATCAACAGCCAAACAGCATTGTTACTTTCACTGTCACATTTTCATCATCTCCTCACTTTCCCATCACAAAACTATTTTTCTGAGACGTTTTCCACAGCTAAAATCACTTTAACATTCATAGTTGCATCATCGCAATCAATCGTCACAGCTTTTTACTTCCCTACCCTCCTCCTATCCTTGTCGTGCAACCACTCAGTCTCAATCTAGCACCCCATAATTTAGAGCATTTACAAGAGAACCCTCCCAAAGGTGATGCAGCACTGAGCCTGGCCATGTAACAAAAATATGACCCAATAAATAGATACCTGCCTTTTTTACAACAGGTATTTTAGAGTCTGGGTGAGTGCAAACAATTAATAATAAAAAAGAGGAAGAAGAAGATTTGCAGATATCCTTGAGTGTGTTTATGTGTGCATCTGTCTTTTCTAAGTGTGGAAGGCAGGAAATCTAGCAGGTTGGATCAAATAGTCTGGTTCCTCACCAAGCATGCTGGCCAAGTAAATTTGTTTAATTAGTAAACCTGGCAAATTGCGCCGGCTCCTAGAGTGCTGTGTATGTGTATAAGTGTGTTCATATGCGAGTCCAAATCATCAACAGACTCCAGCTCTGTTTTGTAGCACTGTTCCCAAAAATAGTTTACAGCCAGCAATTTGAGGAGTGAAAATCTTCTCAGCAATGATGAAACCGTGTCGTGCTTCCCTGATGATTTTCGAATCACTGTCATTCTGCCCAAACAATGCTGCAGCTGGAATGGAGTCAAGCCACATTGGAGTTTCACAGTGATGAAATCACCAGCAATCTCACGAAAACGAAACAGAGTCCAGCTATATTTCTTTGAACCCCATTTTTTGTGTGGGTAAGAGGTGAGAATCCTGCAGACGTTTCACTGCTCCAGCTCCAGGTCAGATTCCTTTTGTCCTCCCCCCAGAGTCTTGGATAAATTATCACACTGTCAGAAACAAGGCAATCTCACGATCCTCAAGTATTAGGTTGTGCCTTTTAAAGACTCTGTGGCGCTCTAAAATTAGCTCATTGTTGATAGCTCGGCAATTATGACCAAGAATTGAATAAATGCTATAAACAGGGCATGCTGTCAGACAATCTTATTCGTGGATTTTTTTTCTTTTAAGAATGAGAACAAAGCTGCAATTATTAATTGATTTAAAAACTGGAACTAAACAATATTTAGTCTAATCTAGTCTAGTCAATGTTTGGAGTAATGTAATAAACATGCTAGCAAATGCGTGCCCACTTCCATGAGGCACGGAGAAATAAATGGGCTACAGAATCAAAACAATGAGCTGAAAAATACTAAAAAATACTAACATTCTGTAGAGTTGGATGATAATTCTCTATGATAACATCACAGTACTTTCATTTTCTGTCATTCCAATAACATCTATTACTACAGTATCTGGATAACAGGTTTTGATTACTGTAATACAAAAAATGAAAAGCTATTACCTAACTCCGCACATAAACCAGATCATGAGCCAGTGAATACCAAAAAAAACATGCTGGTGTGATTTGCATGAAATAATGAAGTCTGGTCATTCATAGATAAAATACTGGCATTGTGTTTGGCACTACAGAAAAAAAAAGGCCCTCCACAGAGCCAGTAATGGCGGACCCTCATTTCATCCTTGCACATTTGCTGATTTTTTTTATTCACACAATGTCTCAATTTTAACAGCAAAGGTTTAAATCCACTTTGCTATTCAGAGCATTTCCTTGGGTTAAAACAATGAAGTAGTGAGTTTGAAAGGACAGGAGAGGAGCAGCAAGCATCCATTAGAGTGTGGAGGAGAGGTTTATTCACCGAGTTGCCATCATTACACCTGGCCTCTCCACTGCCTAGATTAGGCAGGCAATTACAGTTTGTCTACCTGTTGGGTTTGGCAGCACAAATACTGGCTATCAGCTGCCATTGTCTCTCCTCACACCACAACGAAAAAAAAAACAACAGACAGGCATACATGCACTCAGAAACTCGCACATCCTTCTCTCTTGCTTACTCTGTACATTACTCTTCCTCTTGCTCTCTTTTTTCCAAGTGAACACCCTGCCTCAGTGTTTGAGTCTGACCACTGCGATGCTCAGTGTGGAAGGGAGCCTGCTACTGGTTTTCACTGTGCTCTCATTGTGCCAGAGCCATCCAAATGCCAGTGATGCCTGCAAGGCATGCCCGCTGTGTGCGTACGTCTTTGCAGTGCGCGTGCGTCCGCGCGGTTAATGTCTCTGCACGTGCACATGTGCACGTATCGCTCACTGCTTCTCTCCTCGCCCACGGGTGACACCATGATGTGATCCTGCCTCAGTTCCTCAATGAGATGCGATGCTTCTTCTCTTTGCTACTGAGCAAAAACACTGTGCGTATGTATCTGTAGGTTTATGGGTTAAATCAAGATAGGACCTTCTAGTCTGGCCTCAGCACTGCGCTGGAACGATCCTTCAAATGTAGCTTTTAATTATGATCCATCAGCACCGCAGCAGACGCAGAACAACATGAGCTAACTGCAAAAAGGTAGAAATAACTGGCACTTTGAATTTTCTTACAGCGACAGGATCCAGAGTGATGTTTTAGAGAATAAACATTCCCACTGCCCCCTTTTTTTGGGTAAGTGCTATGACATCACTCCTCATCACCATGGCAACATAGTGCTCTCGACTAAACCAGGTCCTGCAGTGTGTGTGCGCGCGCGTGTGTGTGTGCGCGCGTGTGTGTGTGTGCATGCATGCATGAGACTGTGTGCTCAGACAGCTTGAGGCCAATGAGTTGGTCACAATGTGACAGGACTCTGTTCCTCAGAGTCCTGATGCTCTGGGGACAGAGTGAAGAGTCCCATAGGTGCACTGTGGACATGTTTTTGAATCTGTGTGTTTCTGTGTGTCTGTTTTGGGGGAGGCTGTATCTACACCCTGAGTCGCTGAAGTGCAATAAATATACACAGATGTGTTAAATTTGGAAGAGTGCACCCACAGACTGCTGTGACACAGCAGTGACAAGACTGACATAACAATGTGTGCGCGTTTGTGTGTGTGTGTGTTTTGAGCTCTGTGTCATTCCCCTGAGATTTCATAACCTACAATCAATCTCAAAAACTCTTCACATGGATCAGACTGTAGCACAGCAGATTTTATACCAGTGCCTTCTTTTTTTTTTGTTTAACCAACAAAACAGAATACAAGAAATGTCCAGTCTAAAAACAAATGCATGCAACCACTTTTCTACTGCTAAGCGGGGAACAACTCCCATGGATGGCCCACAGTTTATGTAAATTGCTCAAGGGGCCTTCACAGTAGTTAATGAGGGAGGGAGAGTGTTTCTTATTCATGTTTCTCAGATTTTCCCAGCTGCACGGGGAGGTGATTTCCCAGATGGTCACCTCCATAAAGCATGACTGCAGGTGTTGCGGTGGAGACTATAGGCAGGTACACTGAGCACAAATGCAGCAAGTTATCTCATCTTATTCAAATATGTTGTACTCTGAAAACAATCTGAGCTATGGATACACCCCTGCTATCCAACGTCTCCAAACATCCACATAAGCGTGTTTATTAACAAACTGAAGTTTTTATTTGCGCTGACACTTTGGGCACCGGTAATCTACCACAGGAACATCACAGGTGCTGTGCTGACATATTGCGCCCAGCGCCATTGTAGAAGTGGCATCTATTGTTTCTCATATGGTGGATTTCTCAGGACAGTGTCCCAGCTGTGGGACAGCTGGTAAGCCCCTTCATCGCAGTTCATCGCTCACTGTTAGTCTATTGGGTCGTTCATCCAGTTTTGGGGATTGGTTCCTGTGTGCAGTTTATAATTTCATTTTCAAACCTTGGATTAATGAATTTTAGATTTTAGATGTGAATGCTCTACAAGACCAAAGACAAACTTGTTATTCAGGCCATTTACTCAGTTGGAAAGATTTCTATCTGTCACGTGACATTGCCTCAGCATACTGAAGGTGATGGCGCTGGGATCTGCATTAAAATGATATATGCAATTTAGATCTTTAATGAAAAAATACAACCAAATAACTAACTGCTCTCTAAGGATTTAGGGATGTAAATAAATGGTCAACTCAGCAGAAAATGAATGTACTGTTCAATTTCGTTCCACCTCATGTTAACATGTGATGCGAATGACAAATAAAGCTCCTTGAAT